GGCCTGCAGTAAGGAAGACCCACACCCAAATTCAATCCCAGACACTTACTAGCTGTGTGACCCTGAGCAAGTCACTTAACCCCATTTGCCTCAGTTTTGTCATATGTAAAATGAGCTGGAGAAGGAAATGGCAAACCATTCCAGTAACTTTGCCAAGAAAATCACAAATGGGGCAATGAAGACTAAAATGATTGAAACAACTGAACAACAATACTGACACTCAACACTTTCTGAACTTCAGCTGCCTCTACCATCTGATTGGAGGAATGAGGGAAGAGCAGTAAACTCTTCCCAAAGCATTACTTCATTAAGGTTTCTGAATTTTCAAAATCTTCAAGGCAACTCTAGATTCTCCATCAGTAAAATTCTACTTGGTTTCTACTGCATGGAACATCCAGCCCCTATGTTTAGTCACTCTGTTTTGTGTGTTATCTTTCCCCATTATATTGTTTGCTTCTTGACTGCAAACTGTTTTCTTTTTCTTATCTGTATCCCCAGTGCTTAGTATACTGCCTGGCACATTGTAGGCACTTAACATTTACTGAATTGAATTGATATAAATTCTATTCAAAATGACTACAAAATATATAAAATACTTAACAGTCCACCTATACTCAGGACCCATATTAATAAACTACAAAACATTCTGAAGAAATAAAAGATTTAAATGGTTTGAGAAACATGAATGCTGTGTCCATATAATACTTTTTAAAAAGTTACCTAAATTAATTTACAGATTTAGTGCTGTATCAATGAAACTAACAAATATTTACTTTATAAATTTAGATAAAGTAACAAAAAAAATTTTACTGGGGAAACAAAAGACCAGCCATCTCAAAAGACCCAATTAAAAAAAGTAGGAATGAAGGAAATTTTATAGCACAAGATAACCCATACTACAAAATAGTAATCTTCAAAACCATTTGTTGGTTGCTGACAGATAAGAGGAAAAAAAAGATCAATAGAACAGATTATGTAAATGAAGCCAAGGAACAAAAACATAGCAGCACTGTAGTTCATTAAATTCAAGATCACAAACTACTTGGATAAATACTATTCAGCAAAAAGTACTGGGGAAAAAAATGGCTGGCAGAAATTAAGTTTTAAACTTATGTCACAAAATGCTTTAAATGTATATAGGACCTAAATGTAAACTGTCATAACATTAAAAAAAATTAAGGAGAAGGAAAGGAGAAACCTTTTATAACTTTGGATAGAAGAGTTCTTCACCAAACAAGCAATAGGGAAAATTATTGGATATTAATTTGGATTACCCCAACAGAAAACCACTTGCACAAGCAAAATCAATTAAAAAAAAACTTGCAGCAAATTCTCTGACAAAGGTCTGGTACCCAAAATATACAGAAAATTTGGTAGAAACAGAAAAATGAGAGTTGTGTGTGTATATATACATATACATATACATCTATATATATATGTATGTATGTAAATGGTTAAAGAACATAAGATGTTTTCAAACAAGGAAATGAAAATAACAAGCATATTAAAAATGTTCTGATTTACTACTACTAATAAAAATCCATATTATAACATCACTGAGGGTCCACTTCCCTTCAGCCTCACTGAAATGGCAAAGATGACAAAAAATGGAAATGTTAATTGTTGGAAGGATTCCTCTAGGACAGCACACTTCAGTTTTGAACTATTATCCCCAAATTAATTAAACTCCACAAACCCTCTGACCCATATACCACGACTAGAATATATACCCCCAAAGAATCAAACACAGAGGGGAAAGGACTCATACTGCAAATACAAAAATATGTATAGCAGGATGCTTAAAACAGTAATGATAGCACAGTAGCATTAGTGAAGCAAATCAAAAGAGCATGAATAAAACATTAAAAATATAACAAAAAGGGGCAACTAGGTGGCACAGTGGATAGAGAGCACCAACCCAGGAATCAGGAGGACCTGAGTTCAAACCCTCACACTTGACACTTACTAGCTGTATAACCGTGGGAAAGTCACTTAACCCTGATTGCCTCACCAAAAATAAATAAATAAATAAATAAAATATAAGTAAAAAAATCAAAATTTTCAGAAAAAAAATAATGAAAAAAATACACTAACAAATAGGATAATTTTGTTACTGTCCAGGTTAAATTTTATACTGTACTTTAAAAAAAACAAACTGGACTTGAGAAGGTCACTGTTTCATAAATAATGCTTTTTTTGTGTTTCATTGTATATTGATATGTTTGTGTTCAAAGACTATAAGCTCACATTAAATAAAAAATTTAAAAATAAATTGACTGGAGATAAATAAAAGGTATAGAAAAATCAACTGTGCAAATGCAAAGGGATGGGGAGCATGGTTGGATAATAGTTCAGGGAGAAAAAAATCTTATGTTTATTGCAAAGTTAATATGAATCAACAGGTATGATCAACGATCATGGGCCATGTCAATATGAACTATTACCCAGAAAAAAAAAGAATTAATAAGTCCTGCTATACCCTATCATACTCAGGTCATGTTTTTCAAGAAGTATTTGATGCTACATTTTATGAACAATGACAAAAGGGATGGCATACTGAGGTGTTGCATTAGGATGGTGAAAGAAATGAAGTGGATTTTAGAGAAGAAAAGTCTATTTGAAAAGGAGAAAGGTGAAGAATTTATTATTATTTTTATGTATACATTTAACTTGGAACCAAAGGGAAGAACTAGTAACTATGAGTAGAAGTTGATAAGAAACAGATTTCAACTCAATTCAAGCAGATTAACTCAATTCAAGTAGAAACTAAAAAAGTAGAGCTGACTTCAAGCAGAAGCTGGATAATCACTTCTTGGGGATGTAGCAAATTTTTATTCAGGTCAGGTTGTGATAAATGTGATCTCATGTTCCTTCCAAGTCTGAAATATAGTGGATTTTCTCCTTATTTTTTTATATGTTGTTTTGCTTGTTATTAATTAGCCCAATTTCAGAGATTAGATTGGAACCCAGGTTGTTCTAAGCTTTGAAACTACCTCTCAATCCACTACTCCACCTTACTATTTTTATTTCTTGTTGTTCAGTCATTTCTCAGTCACATCTGACTTTTGCATGGCCCCGTTTGGGATTTTCTTGGCAAAAGATACTGGAGTGGTTTGCCATTTCCTTTTCTAGCTCATTTTATAGTTAAGGAACTTAGGGTTAAGTGACTTTCCCAGGGTCACACAGCTATTAAGTGTCTGAAGCCTGATTTGAATTCAGGAAGAAGACAATGAGTCTTTCTGACATCAGGCCTTGCACTCTGTCCACTGTTACCTTGCTGCCCTTTCAGGCAGCTACCCTTAGCAAAAGGATCAATGTTTCCAAAATTTTAAAGTAAATTTTTACATGTAAATTTTATTCATCATAAATGTAAAACCTTTAGAATCTCACAGGCATTTTTTTTAAACTTCAAACGTTAACTTTTCAGCTTAAAAATAAAAGGGAAAAAAAAGGGGCAGCTAGGTGGCACAGTGGATACAGCACCAGCTCTGGAGGCAGGGGGACCTGAGTTCAAATCCAGCCTCAGACACATGATATTCACTAGCTGTGTGACTCTGAGCAAGTCACTTAACCCCACTGCCTAACAGAAAGAAAGAAAAAAAGAAAGAAAAGAAAAATCTGCTTCCAAATACAGAAAAGATTGATCTTATTGGAAAACACTCAAAAATTGTAAAAGACAATGTCATGTCCACAGCTTAAGTGACTGCTATGATATGAGTACAATAATTACAATGTCATATGAATTTCCCTTTTGTTCCTTCTATTCCCCTTTTGTGAGTCTCTACATTTTTCTCAGAATGTTTCTCTGACTCCTTGTATTTATTTACAAATTTTTCTTTTTAATTTCTGCCCAACAGAATGAATTCAATTGAACTTTTGAGAATTTGGGATTTGATACTGTTTTAAAAGATTACATATTTTAGTAATGTCACAATGAAAAATGGTTTTAAAAAAGCTCCTAAAACAAAACCTTTAAATTATGTGTATTAACACAGCAAAAAAATCCTATGAAATTTGAAATCACAATTAGCTTTAAAACTTCAGTACTTCAATTTAATGTATGATCTATACAAAATGACAGAATATTTAATGTTCACATTAATAGACAAATAAAGTCTGTTTTTATCACTAAAATAAGCCAGTCTTTACAAATAATTGCTGCATAAAACTTAATATTTTATACTGACTGGAAACTAAGACTACCTTTGAATTTCCAAAAGAAAATGGATAATTTGAGCTGACTGAGTAAAGCATTCACAGACATGGAACAGTCCCTATCGCATCCTGGTAATGGTTAGCAATTTACCTCTTCTAGGGTGCCAAATGTTACTCTAATGCACTGAACCAGTAAAATGACCTTATATATGTAAATGCGTTATTCTGGCAGATCATTTTGTGAATATTCATGAATTTGTACAAATGTTTAGGAAAGCAAAATTGTTTGCTAATAAAAGAAGATAAATTTTTAGAAAAAAACATAAAAAAGACAATATTGTATTTAAATATGCACATGTCAATATTTTTCTCTCGCTAAAAATATTACCTAAAATTGTGGTAATCAGCCATTTTTCTCTGTGAAGCTCCTTAATAATATCTTACATTGAAAGATAATTAGAAAAAATTAAAAAAATTTGAAGGAAGTGAGATAAATAAAATGAGATGGGACAGGCAAGAGTGCTTTGCTACAAAGTTTTATACAAATAAAAAATTATTAGGAATAACATATTCATTTTTAAAAAGTATTTTAATTTGCCCTATACACATTAATATATACACATACTTCTTAATTTCGTAGATGTTCTTGAAAGGACCATAATGAGTACAAATGGAAAAGCTATAATCTCTTCAGACACAGATGTTATATGTCAAGAGATTCCTAGTGTGATCTTCATGAAACCTCAGGCGTATTTTTCATTATAAAATATTACATCATGATTATTTTTTGAATTACAATTTGTTAAATAAGAATACCAAAATGGGTCAGGAGATATCAATATTACCTTTGTAAAATGAGTGGGCAAAGCTCTGCTCAGGAATTAACTTGGCAAGGAATCCATGGTTCAAACTTGGATGAGGGATAGATGGTATGACCACAACTGTGAAGAAAATCATGAATCAAATGTGAGCCAGCTTGTAACAGCCTGTGGCCTGGTCTCTTATGGATCCATGACAAAAGTCCTATCTCATTACAACATGCAAATATGACACCATCAACAAAGAACGCATCTCTGAAGGAAAGAAACAAGTTATGTATTAAGAGATAGGAAACAACATCAAGAAGTACACTTTTAGAACATAAAGAGAATAAAAAAGACAAATTTACAAGCAGATCAGAATAGGGAAGATTCATTATAATTGGAGTTTCCCATTCCAGCATCATGAATACATTAAACATGAAATGAAATGGCTATTTCTTTACAAAGTAAATTATAATCTAATCCTTTTTAACTGAAAGACATCAAGATTTTATTTGAAGTATCAGATATAAAAGAAAATATGAGATATGTTATGTTGATGATGACTAAAAGTAAGGATGAAATGTCAACATACTCTTATGGGTAAAGTACAAATGTTAATAGCTCAAAAAAACGAACAAACAAAAACAACCCAACAACATAAGACCACTCCAGAAGGTGAGATGATGATTCACGAAGAACACCATGCAGAGATTTGACCACTGATTTCTACTCACTTTTAAAAATCCATTATTTGTTACATAGCTTTTTTTTTTTAAAAGAAAACATAAACCACAAGCCAATCCAGCAGAATAAGGAATGGTTACTGAATTAGAAAACTAACATTAGAAATAATATTGATCCAAAACTCCCGACAAGCAATGAAGCTGAAAGACAGCCCCTCAGGGCTAGGATATCAACTGTCAGAAAATATTAAAACAACTCTTTAAAGTTTCCAGTCTTTGTTTATAGCTTCCAAAGGGAACAAGACAAGTCCAATAAAGGCAACTTATACAATAACATTTGATTTTAATGGACCTTTCTACTATGAAAACAGAAAACTAAAAAGAGAGTAAGACTCAGGAGGTAAAACAGTGTTTCCAGTACTAGATTTTTCAAAAAATTTTCATTGTTGGCCAAATCAACTTAACTATATGGGTTTACATAATATGAATTCAGACTGAATATCTGAATACACACACAGCAAGTAAATAATGTCCCCTTGGCCCCCTGCCCCTCAAATGTTTGTTTGTTCTGACAGGTTTATATCTTGGCTTACTCTAGATTCTGCCATAACTCTGCAGGAGCCTCTGCCTCTTGTGTCATAAATAAAGATTTTTATAAGAACACCTAAAATGTATGAAAATGATCTATATATTCAAATGCAGTAATGAAAATAAAAAACCTTATTAATATATAACAAATAATAAAATAAAAGTAGTGATGAGAAAATAGCAAATGTCATGTAATTAGTCTCCATGTTCTTTCTTCAATTTAGGTTTGCATGTTTTTGTATTTATGCATGTATGTATTGATATCCCACTGAGTTCCAAAAGGATTTAAAGCACCTAGAAATACCTATTTTATACATTTTTAATATTTGAAAGGTTAGATGAAATACAGTGAAAAATCAAGTAAGAAAAGAAAGTACCTGTACTTGTTGGCGAATTTATTTCTTGTCTCATGTTTCTACCTGCCTGGCTTCCAGATCGTGCAGTCTCTCGTTGGGGTTCTAGTATGTCACGATATTTGGAGACCATCAGAACAGAAATGAAGTAAACCACAGCCAAAGCTAAGAATTGAGCCTGTTTGCTATCATCCTATGTGAAAGGAAAAGAAAGATATCAGAATAAAATTTATACATTCATAGGATGTTTCTAATAAAGAAAATGTGTTTTGAGGAAAGGAAATGAGGATACACAATATGCTTTGGTGTTATTTAGTACTTTAGCATGAAAATATAAAGATCTTTTTTGACTAAACATATTCTCTTCAAATAAGATATGAATAGCAATTCTGCTACAAATACTGAAATGTTCCTTCTGTACTATTTGTGGCAATTCTGTCTTCTTATACCATTACCTAGCATAAATTACTTTTCTGCCCCATACCCATCCTCAACCATCTTGCTCTAGCCTTCAACATTCTTTAAGAGGTTCCTTAAAGTTAACCCTTCTCCATGAAACCTGTATGAAGATAAATATAAGTGGAGTGGAGATCATTTATTCCAAATGTCTCATTTTACAGGTGAGGAAACTAAAAGCTGAGAGTTTAGCCAACTTGCCCAAGGTGAGATAATTAATTAGTAACTCAGAAGGAATCTGAGCCTAACAGGCCTCTTGACTGCAATGCTGGGGCCCTTTCCATTGAACCAAATTGCCTATTTTTAAAAAAAAGTAAGTTCCTAGATTCTATCAGTTTGAGTTGTTTTCTGCAATCAGAATACTTCATCATCAAGTATTTACGTAATACACGCATAATAATAATGACAATAATGATAATAATAATAAATATGACTTCCCCTCATGCTTATTCAATTACAAAGATGGAATCATTTTATCCATCCGTGCAACAGTCCACAGAACATTAAGTATAAAAAAATAATGGTAGGGTAGCAACTTGTTCTTGATCATTTCCATCAAGGAGAATCAAAAAAGATTAGAACTGACAATAACAATAATAATATTAAAAAACTGTTTCTACCTGAGCCCCAGTGAAAATGAGGCTAAGAATAAAACAATAAACAATAATTATAGCAAGTGACATTTATTTGGGCTTTAAACTTAACAAAGCACATTTAACTATATTATCTTCTTTGAGCCTCACAATAACTGAAATATTATTATTTCTACATTACTTACGAGGAAATTAAGGTTCAGAAATTAAATAATTTTGGGGGTAGATGCTCTTTCTTAGCTCTGAGTTCAGCAAGACACGCTGCTCTACACCTCGTATAGCTCTTCAAATATATGAGCATAAATAAGTCCACTAGTAATTTAGCTATGGGTATTATAATTGAAATTTTAGAAATCTCAATGTTAGGCTCTTACTGAATAAAGTAAAAGAATTTAGAGACAAGTCTCTTTTTGAGCCACAGGATTCTAGCCTTGCTCATCTCCTATTAAACATTTTCATCAACAAGTTAACAACAAACACAATGAAAGAAGAAGAGGAGAAGGAAGAGGAGATAACTGTTTTAAGGTTAGCAAAGCACTTGACAATATTATCTCATTTAATACTCACAACAACCCTGATTACCTATTTAAAGTTGTGGGAGATAGATCACATATTCTTCAGAGAATCAAGATTTTAAAAGATGGGTGGAAATATATGAAACTAGTAAGATAAAACTTAGAAACATAAATGTAAAGCCTACACTTGCAGAATTTGGCTCAAAAAACACTCTTATGAAAATTTTGTCACATGAACTTAAGTCAATTGTAATTCTGCATTTGTTTAGTTTTTTTTTTCCGTACACTTCAGCTGACTTCTAAGAATCCTTCTTGAGTTAAGATTTCTATGATTTTAAAAAGTTAATTATCAATTAGGAGGCCACATTACGTAATAAAGTATTGAACTACCAAGGCAGGAAGACCTAGATTCAAATCTTTCCTCTAATATTGAATAGCTGTGTAAACCTCTCTCAGCCTCAGTTTCCATATCTATAAAACAGGGAAGATAAGAGATTGACACACAAGATTGTTGTGTGGATCAAATAAGAATCTGTATGTAGTACGCTTTGCAAAATTAAAAGTACTATATAAAAGTCATGTGAAATTTTAAAAAATGATTGTGACTTATCTTTTACTGACATTAACATTCAAATGCAAGTATGCAACATCCACATGAAAAGCAAAAACACAAGATAAATCCTATTTCTTCCTATTTCTTATAGCACTTAATCTAGGTCTCCTTTGCCTTATTATAGTTGCATCATATCTCTATTGTTTTCTCATGTATCTCATCTCTCTGATGGATCTAAACTACACAGCTTTGTCTTTCTCAATGGGATAAACCCACTGGGAAGCACAGAAAATTGCATGTAGCAGGGGCTTGATTCTATTGAATTTCATTGCTCAGATTTTACATAGACTTAATGGAACAGATAAGCAAGAATCAAGCATTGTTTTTATTTCTTAATGTTGCAAAAAATAATTAGAATATGTAATGGTAGAATCAGTACTTTTATAAAGCTACAATTTATTTTGAAACTATTAAAAATGGATAATTTCAGCACTCATATGCATATAGTTACTCTTTCAATGCTGTGAAGAACTATAAGTCCAGGAGGCAGGGTCAAGATGGCAGTGTAGAGGCAGGGACTAGCTTGGGCTCTCCCAAATTCCCCTCCAAACAACTTTAAAATAATGCTTCAAAACTAATTCTAGAGCAGCAGAGCCAATAAAAGAACGAGATGAAATAATTTTCCAGCTCAAGACAACTTAGATGGAAGGCAGTAAAGGTCTATCTCACTGGGGTAGGAGTGAAGAAGTTCAGCAGGAAAGCCACCAGCAGGCCTTGGGGACAACTAAATCAGCAAGGCCAGTGGATTCTGGACTTCTCAGGTCAGAGTTATAGAATTGGTCAAAAGGAGATTACAGGGGACCCTTTGCTGGCAATGGGTGCAAGACTCTGTTGCATTGCCAATACGTGGTTCTTGGTCACAGTTCCAGGGTGAGAGGAGTACTGGCAGGAGCGGGGACCCTGGGTAAAATTCCAGGACAAAAAAGAGTGCTTGTGGCTTCTCACATAAAAGAGCACAGGCCAGAGGAGCAGTGATCACACTTCTCCTTATCACCACCACCTTGGAAGAACTAAAAACTTACAGAACACCCAAGAACTAGCTTTAAAAACAGCAGGATCAAAAACCTGAAGCTTGGGATAGTGCCACCTTTACTTCAGGAGCAGAGCCCAACTTTAACATAAAGTTGCAAGTCAAGAAATAGACTGGAAAAATGAGCAAACAACAAAAAAAGAACCTCACCACAGAAAGTTACTATGGTGACAGGGATGATTAAAACTTAAACTCAGAAGAAGACAGCAAAGTCAAAACTGCTACATCCAAAGCCTCAAACGAAAATTAACTCTAAATCTCATGATCCATTGTGACACAGCTTCAAACAAAGAGGCAGAGCTAAAAAGTAAGGGATAGACAAAACCATTCTAAAATGTAACTATATTATAGAATAAGATTTTTGTACTTTAGTAAAGGATTTAACTAAATGAAAATTTAGGAGACAGTGCCAGAAACAGTAACAAGCTTTTAAAATTAATACTGCATAATGGGTATCATATTGCTTGCCTTCTCAATGGGTGGGGGGAGGAGAAATGGAGAATATGAATAAAATGAATGAAATGGAGAGAATCTGAAACTCAAAATAAAGAAATGAATGTTAAAAAGAAAAAAGAAAAAAATGAATATTACAATAGGTTAAGCCAAGGACAAGTTTGTTATGAGCATAGCATATAAAGGAATCTCTCAGTATAGTACACACTTTATCATACTCAGATAGTAAATTTCCTCACTCTCATTAATTTCATCTTTGAAAAGGAAGGCCAATAAAATTAAGAGATCTGAATTTTCTAATGAATTTGCTTATTTTAAAAGAAATTTTAGTTTCATATAGAGATGGCAGGTCCTCAGTTATTGACCTCTGTTTACAAATGGAATTTCCAACCTCCATGGATTCTCAAAATGTACTTGAAATTCTTTAAAATTTAAATCTTCAATAGGGATAAGGGACTATACAACTTGTGGTTTCATTGGTACAGGGAACACTCAAGTGAGCAAACTTCCTCCAAAAATGCAAGCATCTTTTCTGAACCTTGAGCATCTTACAGAATCCCCTAGAGCACCAGAAATTAAGTAGATTACCCAGGGTCACACAACAATATGTGTCAGAGGTGGGACTTTAACTTATGTCTTTCTGGTTTCAGGGCCACTTTTTTTTTTTAATCTACCCTACCAGACTGCCTTGCTTTAATAGGGAGTCAAAAAGATTGTCTAAAGGACATTTTAAAAGAAAAACTTTAGCTACTTTCAAGATACAGATGATTCTTTTACTCTTCTCAAGGGTAAGAAGTGACATATCGATTTTCTTTTGAAGCCTAACTTGTGGAACAGTAGTGGAAACAATCCCCAAAGAAAAATATAGCATAGTGAAGTGAAAAGTAAACTAGACATGAAATTTAAGTTTTAAGTTTAAGCTCTGATTTGGCCACTTACTACTATTTTTTTGACCTTGGCTAATATATCCCTTTGAACATCACTTTTTTCACCTGTCAAATAAGGGGAATGGACTAAATCTTAAAGAGTCTTTCATGAATCTGATCTGTGATTATGCTTCCATAATAAATTAGTAAAATAATTACTATTTCTATTCCTTAAAACAGCTGTCAATTTTCACACAACTCATTTTAAACATGCTACAAAATCATCAAATCTAAGCCTTCGAAGAAACTTCAAAAAATATCCCTTCCAACTCACAGCTGAACCATTAGCACCTCTATAATCTACTTGCCAAGTGGTCATTCAACCTTTCCTTGACAAACTCCAGTGGGGCTACGGTGTAGGGCATGGGGAGCACAGATGGACTCATTCCATACTGAAGAAGCCTATTTCATTTGTTAATAACTCTAATTGTTGGAAGAATTTTCCTCACAATCTAGTTAAACTCTGCCTTCCTATAACTTTCTTTTTTTGTTTGGTTTTTTTTTTGGTCCATTTATTTATTTTTAGTTTTTAAGATTCATTTCCACAAGATTTTGAGTTCCAATTTTTCTCCCTATCTCATCCTTCCCTAACCCCAAGACAACAAGCATTCTAAACACCCTTTCCCCTAATGTGCCCTCCTTTCTATCTCCCTCTCCCCTTCTCTTATCCCCTTCCTCTTCTACTTTCCTGTAGAGGAAGATAGATTTCTATACCCCACACTGTCTGTATATCTTATTTCCCAACTGCATGTGAAAACAATTTTTTAACATTTGTTTTTAAAACTTTAGGTTTCAAATTTTCTCTCTTCCTCCCTCCACACCCACCTTCACTGAGAAGGCAAGCAACTTGATACAGGTTATATACTTTAACGGTCATGCAAAACACTTCCATAGTAGTCATGCTGTGGAAAACTAACTACATATAATAAAGCATAAGAATACTTGAAAGGTAGGTAGAGGCCATGTTATGAAGAGCTTTAAATGTCAAATGGGCAATAAAAAGCCACTGGAGTTTACTAAATAGGGAGATGATATGGATAGACCTATACTTTATGAAAATCACTGGCAGCTGAGGGAAGGATCAATTATAGTGAAGAGAGACAAGAGGCAATGAGAATAAATCGAAGACTACTATCTATAGGCGAGAGGTTATAAGGACTTCAATTAGGGTTGTGATTATATGAGTAGAAAGAAGGGAACATGTGAAAGAACTTGTGAAGGTAGAAAATAAGATCGGGCAACAGAGCAGATAAGTGGGTGAGACTAAGAAAATGAGAATGACACCAAGGTTTTCAGCCTCAGTGACTAGGAAGTTGTGCATTCCACAGTGACAGGGAAGCCTAGAAGAATGGAAGATTTGGGGGAACAGATTATGAGTTCTGAAGGTGCTGAGTTTGAGATACCTATGGAACATGCATTTTCCATGATCTTTACAACATGGTTGAAAATTGCTCTGGAATCACATCTTCCATAACTTAATAATCCTAGGATGAAGCTCACTAGGACTTGCTGCCTTAAACTCAGCAACAGCATTTAGATGTTCTGTTCTCCTGTTAATCTTGGATGCTAACCACACTATCCATTTTTCTTCTTTCCAGTTTGAAGACCACTCTTTTTAGCAGAGAAAATAAAAATAAGAACTGAGAGACTTTTTTCCATCATCTCATCACTGAACTGAGCAGGATCCTTATCCCATTTTTTGATCCTCATCTTTTTTTCTAATAGTTATTCTTAAATTCCTTCACCTTCAATCTATTCCCTCTCTAATCCAGTCTTTCCACTATTAAAAAGTAATCTTCCTAATGTACAAGTATGGTATGTGGCATCTGTTCAAAATGCTTCATTAATCTTTACTCTCTTTGGCATAATGGTTCAATATCCTCCATAACCAGGCTGCACACTACCTTCTGGGCCTTATCTCATACTTCTCCCCTACAAACATTAAGATAATACCTTTCTCTTGCTTAGCTTTCTCAAATCTAAACATGCTATATTCCATACCTAACTACTTTTTCACCATATCTATTTCATGAGATATTTCTTCTTCTTTCAAGGCCTAGTTCAAAAATTACCAACTCCACAAACCCTTATCTTGTGCTCTCCTTCCCCTTCCATTTCACTACACATCATACTCAAGCTGCTATTCCAATCAATTCATCTTTTCTCTGCAAATTATCTCTTACCATATGTAGGGGCAACAGATCACTTTCAATTTTTATGTACAGTCTATTTTTCCTCTATAAGTACACCCCAAAATGATCTCTTATATTTGTTTTGGATGACTTCAGATCAAGGCCCCACCAAAGGCAGAGGCACTTCCCTGGTTGGCTTTAGGGTGATTAGTTTTTCTCCTACATCTGCTCTCAGGAACCATCTACTAAAGTGTTAAATGAGTTGTAATCTTGAAAGATTGGAGGAAGCACCCACATGGATGAAATCATGAATCCTTAAAGCATCAAAGTGGAAGATTTTTCCCAGTAAAAGAAAAAAAAAACCTGTAACTTACCACATCACGAAATACAACTGCCCGCAGACGATTAATGTCTACATCCTGAAGAAGTCTATCAGGATCTTTGATGGGAGAAAGATTACCAGGAACACTTTCAAGTGGAGTCTAAAACAATAAATAGAACTCCAATGGGATCATTTATCTGAGGAAGTAAGATTCTAAACGCTGAGTTAAATCAACTATAGGTCTGCATTATAAAATCTTATAAAGTAATATTTTTAAATGCTTTATATAACATGTTAATATGGCATAGTTAGACAGGATACTGGACTTAGATTCAGGAAGATGAAGAAAATCCTGATAGGCAGAAGAATATGAAGTTTACGCAGTGTTTATATTAGATATGTAGCAGTTGTAATAACGAAAAATGTTATAATTCACCTAGCCAAATGCAATTATAGCCGTACCTTGCCAACAAAAATATCACAGGGTCACAGTCTGAAAACTGAAGAGATTAGAGGTCATCTAGTCCAAGCATCCATTTTACAAATGAGAAAAGCAAAGCCCAAGAAGGTTAAGCGAATTGCCAAAATTCACAGTCAGTAAGTGGCAGAGCTGGGATTAAAACCCATGTGCTCCGACCACAAATCCAGTGCTCTCCTTTGTTGTTGTTGTTGTTGAGTAGTTTTGTCATGTCTAACTCTTTGTGACCCCATTTGGGGTTTTCTTGGCAAAAACACTAAAGAGGTTTGCTATTTCCTTTTCCACATCATTTTTACAGATGAAGAACTAAGGCAAAGCAGGGTTAAATGATATGCTTAGCAACACACAGCCAGTAAGTGTCTGAGACCACATTTGAGCTCAGGAAGATGACTCTTCCTGGTTCCAAACCCACTGCTTTATCCACTGCTCCACCTACCTGCCCTTACAGCAATTTCTTAAGAATGATTTATAAATGAGATTAGTCAAATCTGCCTCAAAGATTCACAAACAATGGTGTTTGGTAATTATGTATTAGCAATATTAATATGTGTATGTTTAGTTATTGTTATTGCTTCACTCATTTCAGTCATGTCCAACTCTTTGTGACCTCATTTGGGGTTTTCTTGGCCAAGACACTAAAGTGGTTTGCCATTTCCTTCTCCACATCATTTTTACACATGAGGAACTCAGAGAAAGAGTTAAGTAACTTTCCAAGCATCACACAGCTAGTAAGTATCTGAGGCCAGATTTGAATTCAAAGAGATGAGTCTTTCTGACTTTAGGCCTGTCAACTCTATCCACTCATGATCTGTGATTTCATCAATGTGTATGCTCTCTCCACACTACAGGTCACAACTTCTCCATGTCTTTCCATACTGTACAATTCTTATCATTATCTTTCTTCTACAGGTGATCTTCCAATAAAGCAGAAAATATTCCTGTGGTTCTTTTCTAAAAATGTTTTCTAATTGAAATCTTTTATCTCACTAGACATACAAATTTTTTCCTTTTAATTTCTACAATATTCAGTTTGGGGTTTTTTTATGATTATTATTCTATTTACACTATTGTAATCATTGTGAATACTGTTTCCTGGCTCTGCTTGCTTCACTTTGCATTAGTTTAAGTCTTTCTAAGTTTCTCTGTACTCATCACACTCATCATTTCTTATAACATGACAATATTCCAAAACATTCATATTTGACAATTTGTTTAGATATTTCCTAGTCACTGGCTGACCATTTCATTTCCAGTTTTTTGCTACCACAAAAAGTGCTGGTTTAATATTATGGCATATATAGGGCCTCCTACAGATTTTATTATCTTTATCCTGAAGATATCAATGGAGCATTCAAGATATTCAACTACTGCCTCATATTTTGACCCTATAAACAAAGACAGCATTGGCTTTTAAAAATATTTCCACAAACTTTAGATCAAAATAATATGGACATGAAGAAAGTAATTGTCCCACTGTCTTACTCTGTACTAACCAGCTTACAGACAAATTCTTGCAGAATAATTACAAACTGCACAGTATACGAAGGAGGCCAATTGAGAGTGTGAGAGGACTGAATAGATGAATATCTGCTGAAAGAACATGGATTGTGTTTGTTTTCTAGAATTTTTAGTGTCTAGCTATCATAGAGAAGAGGGATTAGTCTTGTTCTACTTGGCCCTGGATTACCAAGGAAATGGGGAAAAGAAGACGTAGCAGGGACAAAAGTTAAGAAAAAAGAAATCAGAGTTCCTGGAAAACAGATTTCAGTTCAGTAAAAGAAAAAAATAAATGAAGTTGTCAAAAACTAGAAAGGGAAGCTTCAAGTCTAACAGGCTCCTAATAACTGAAGATCTTCAACTGCAGGCTTGTCCAGAACATTGCAAAGGAGATTCTTCTTCAGGCACAGGTAAATTTTGTCACTCATCGAGGAAAGAGATTAGAGTTGGAGAAAAAGTTATGAGAGAAAGAAGTGAGAAATTATCAACAATTCCAATAATTACTTTTTCAACAAAGTTTCAGATTTTCTCTGCCCATTTCTTTGGTTTACTTTTCAGAAAGATCACAAACACAACTATTTGTGAGAATAAAATTTAGTTACCTTTGAAGTTGCTGCTGCAGTCACACTTTGGGGAGCTTCTTGAGGTTTACTGCTAATAAGAGAAGATTTGTTCACCCTTTCCCTCTGCCTCTGTCGACATTCTAAGCAGTTTCTCACAGCAACACAGCAAACTAAAATAAGTAATGTATATAAACCAATAAAATACATTGTAGCTTTTTAAAATGTTAAGAATAACAGTTGCTTAATTTATTTCATGATTAGAGTTAAAAACAACAATGTCAAATGAATCAGACAACCTTAATGATATATGTTCACTTTAATTAGAAAATTACTAATTTCTTAAAATAATCTGTTTCTAGTATCAGATAAATTTAACATTTAATACTAAAATGACACTGAGCCTAATATTTTACACTCAAGCAAAAATGGGTAAGTAGGATTCACAAAACTCTGCAAGTCCCTATACCTTTCCTCAGGTAATACTGCCTTATTCCTACCACACAGAATATAATCAGGAACAGATGCCTATCTATCATTCCTCAGAGTCCTAAGGATGAAAAGGAGAGAGAAGTAAGGCTTCAGAACCAGTTCAAGCTATTGGACAGGGTGCTGGGCCTGGAGTTAGGAAAGCCTGAATTCAAATCTGGCCTCAGACACTAACTAGCCTAGTATGATACTGGGCCAGTCACTTAACGCCTCTGCCTCAATCTCCTCATCTGTAAATGGAGATAATAATAGCACATCCCTCTTAGAGTTGTTGTGAGTATCAAATGAGATAATATTTGTAAAGTGCTTAGCATAATGCCTTACCATAGTTAAGTATGATAAAAATCCCTATTCCTTTCTCTTCCCCTTAATTTACAGCTGCAAAGAACTATAACATAAAAGTTGGTATTAAATGTATACTTAAAAAACTGCAGAAAGAGATAGTACCAAAAAACAAAGACACAAGCTGGAAACTTTTTTTGAAGAACTCTCAGCCTGGTTAAAATTCCATTCATTCTTTACTCCAGAAAAATCCCTCTCCTGTCTGGCCCTATTCCTCTGGCCCCATCTAGGTTGCCTCTAAGTCATCATTCTCCAAGGAAGGCCTTACCCCTTCTTTGATAGAGAGAAAGAATTTATTTATAACCTCACTCCTTTCTGTGAAGTGAGAGAAAACTGATGACAGGGTAAAGACTTCCAATCTATTCAAGTGGACATAAAAGAGAATGTACATAATTTCCTTTCTGCCCCACTACTGTTCAGTCAATGCTCTCAGATTCAAATATTAAGTTGCTGTAAGTACTGCTGATAATATTATTATGTCCTTTGTCTCAGGCTCCTGGCCCCATTTAAAAATAAAGCAATGATGTTTTTACCCATTAGGAATGGATGATTCCTTCTAAAAATAAGCCTAGCTCCAACTGCTATGATAGCATAAGATTTCCTAGTGATAAATCTTCTCTGCTTTGTAAAAACTAAGAAAGCATATTCTAGGCTTATCAAGGATAGTGAATTCAACACAATCCATTTTTGCCTTTGGATATTATATGCCTAAAGACCAGCCTCATCATATCTTTTAACTCAGAAAACCTGACTCATTGTTGCACTTAAATAGGGTTCAGACATGAATCTCCAATAAATCAATTTTAGCAGAAAATAATTAAATGCTATGGAGTCTGAAAAACTTTAAATATTTCATAGTAATTTAAACAGCCCAAATTTACCAAATCTGAGTAATATTTTTATTCTATTTTAAAATCTTAATAAATTTGAAGTATCACAAAAATAATGTTATCACATTTCCAAAAAAGGCCAATTTGTATTATAACTGCGCTATAAGTAATGAGTTTTAAAACACCAATCAATGGGTAAGTAGTTACTTAATAAGCACTAGACTTACCAAGCCTCAGACACTGTCGCATTAAACCTCCAGAAGACATGTTCTTTTCAGCTTCAATCTCACTAAAATTTAGAGAGCTGGCAAACACCAGGACATCAACCATAGCCATCAGTCTGCTGAGGAAAGTCACTGCTGTCTCAGCTGACATGCCTTGTGTCACTTCAATATTTTCCAATTCCGTCTTTAAAAAAAGTAATAGTTAGACATAATCTTTGTATGCAATACATTACTAAAAACTCAGTATTTAAGTGAATAAGGATTTAGCATATTACATTTTCAAAAATCTATAAAATTGATGTTAGCATGATCAATTACTTTTATAATAATCACAACCTGAGTTTAAAAAAAAAGAAAACTTATATCAGTTGCCTTAAAGTTCATACTGTTATTATTAGAATTTCTATTTCTTAAAAGTGAATTTGGGGGAAGCTAGGTGGTGCAGTGGATAGAGGACCGGCCCTGGACTCAGGAGAACCTGAGCTCAAATCCGGCCTCAGACACCTAACACTTACCAGCTGTGTGACCCTGGGCAAGTCACTTAACCCCGCTGCCTAGCCAAAAAAAAAAAAGTGAATCTGAATTTCAAAATTATGACAATAAGAAAAAACTGAAATTACGGCCTTTGTTCAATAATTAAAAATAAAAACTGCTATTTGCTCTTAGGTTCCCAAACTCTCTAACAAAAAGTGTTTTGGCCATTTTTTTAAATAACTCTAAGTTAAATAATATGAAAATGGAAAAAAATGTTCTGACAAATGAATTAACTAATAACTTGCACTGATTCAAAAATTAAAAAATGTTTATTCATAAAGTATATTAATTTTATGCCAAATTTGGAAATGGATGACACTACTAAATATCTGCATAAGTACAACTTAACTGTAAGATTGGTACACGCATGGTGTTAACTCCTATAATGCAAAAGATACAATAAAAAAAAGAACCAGTGAAATTCTGAATTCAGTGAAATTCAATTTTATTAAAGTATTATGATATTTACTTTTTCTTCCTCAAGTACCAAAAGGTTTTCTGTACTCTGAAGTGGTTAAAATGTGGTCACTTCATAGTTTTATAAATAAGTTTCAACTCAAAAAGAAAATAAGTCCACATGCTGTTCTTTTTTTTTAATTAGTTTTCCATGCTACAAAATCTATGATGAGTCAATATTTTCTCCATGCTTCAAGGCGGTTAAAAGAGTGTTTTATAAACAAAAATTCTACTATTTGAATTTTCTGCTAATGCTTCATAACAAATAGAATGATTAAATTCATTTTGTTGTAAATCTACTAGATATATAACTATTCTGTTCCATCTTCTTAACATCTCATATTAGGAACTGCCTACCTGCTGAGTAATAGAGATGACAGATAGGTAAGAGAAATGCTTTCACCTGTCTTGATAAAACAGTAAAATTAGTATTGAACTGACAGTTAAAAACTTATTTTATTTCAGTCAAACTTTTTCTTCTATCTTAAAACTAGAATGAAATTCTACTCTCTAAAATGCACTCATTATGACAGCTTTTATTTGTACAGCTACTGATTTAAAATAGTAAGCTGATGCAATCAGTATACAACGAGGAAGAGGTTTTAAATACTATACTAAAATTTTTGTTTAGGTGTTTGAAGTATATCCTTATCTCAAATTAGAATATTATGCAAACCAATGAGATTAAAAACTCAGACAATCTATAAATCCAAATACTAGTTACCATAAAATCTTTCATTTAGTTAAGTGCTCTTCTTACTATCTATATATTTATTAGCTATTTTATAATTAAGTTATTTTAAGGGTTCACTACTACACACTTCATATATTAATTAATGAACAATTATTTCATTTTATGATATAAAAACTTAAAAGGAAAAGCAAAAATTTCATATTCTACAAGAGATATAAAACAGTGTAATAAATAAGATATAAACTTGAAACTGAGATGTCTGTACTTGAATCATGCCTTGAATAAATACTACACGCAAGATAATAGACAAGTCATTTACTCCCTCAGAGCTGCACTACAGTTTCCTTCTCAGTAAAAGAGAGTCAAAAATACTTGAACTATCTACCTTAAAGGGTAGATAGGTTGCACAGTGATAAAGCACTGGGTTTGGAATCGGGAGGACTCATCTTCCTGAGTTAAAATCTGGCCTCAGACATTTACTAGCTGTATGACCCTGGGCAAGTTACTTAACCTTGTTTTCCTCAGTTTCCTCATCTGTAAAATGAGCTAGAGAAGGAAATGGCAAACCATTCCAGTATCTTTACCAAGAAAACCCCAAATGATGTCACAAAGACTTGGACATGACTGAAACAACTGAACAACAACATCCGCCTCAAAGATTTGTTGTTAAAAACACATTTTAAAAACCTTAAACAGCTATACAAATAGGAATGATGAGGAAGAGGAGGAAGATGACCACCACAGGATTATAGATTTAGAGCTAGAAGGGATCTCAGAAGTAATTGAGTGTAACCCAATTATTTTAGAGATGAAGAAAATGGGGCATCTGAAGATTAAATGATTTGCACCAGGTCACAAAGGTAATAAATGTCATATCTTAACTCAGCTCCTTTGACTACAGTGAGTATTCTTTCTACTGCGCTCTTTCTCCCAGAAACTAGTTTTTGTAACCAATTTCCTACAAAGAGCAGGAACACCTACCCATGGTTTTATTTTCAAACAGTATGAACTACTTTCCAAATTGTCTGATCTATACAGAAAATGCCATGTACATATTTTATTATACTTACATTATAATAGTGTTGCTTTATGGGGATATAGTGAACTTAGTAAAATAAACTCTAATTTTAAAAGATTTCATTTGGGGTTGAATAATTACCAATTCTTAATTATGAAGATGTATACTGAATATCTTCATATATGCATTCCTACAAAATAAGCACATGGGTATAGCTTTAAATTGCCCTTTTTAAAAAGGTCACATGATAAAACTTTACATAAATAAAATAAAAAGCAGTGATATCTGATTTACCACTCAATAGATTTATTTTTAAAATGCTAAGGTACTACATTTTCTGGTGAACTTCCCTTAGCTAGAATCTGCTACCATCTCATTTACTATTTGGCTGAATTATTTGGGGGGGTATATTTAATTTGATCTTTATGAGAAATAATAAACTGTTAAATAATACAGTGTAAAGTAATAATCTTCATGAAACTTTTAAATATACCAAAGATATCTCTTCGTGTTGCATATATGATATGGCAACTCAAAATAGAACCATGTCAAAAATAATAAATATTTAAAACTAAAAAACACAAATTTACAGCAATAATACTAACCTTAGAACCCTGGACATGCATCAGACAAAACAGACAACAGATCAAAACAATACAAGAAAAAGAAAAATATTAAAATCAAATGAAAATACAATGTAAAATTGAAACATAAATATTTTGAAATTATATAACATTTTTGTTAAAAGCAAAAATGTTCACTTGCATGAAATAAAAACTTCTAATGAAAAGAATATACTTTTAAAATACCACTAGTATTTTGTTTCCATCAAAAAGACTCTTCTCAAATGACAACATATATGGATATTTGGGGGAGGGATAGTAGTGGGGGAGAACTGACCTGTGATTTCATTGATGTGGGAAGTTCCTTATAAAGACTTTCTCCTACCAGGGGAGATCAGAAACTTCTCTGCACTACACAGGGAGTAGCCTGGGACACTGAGATTACATAATTTGACTAAAGTAATCCAGTCAGTATGTGGAAGGGGTGAGACCTGAACCCAAGTCTTTCTTCCTGGCTGTAAGATCAGTTCTCTATCTATTATATCACCCTACCTTTCCTTTATGTATATCCATATACTTATCACCATGCACATGCAAAACTTTACAAATAGTTCACTTTCCTAGTACTGTACTAGTGAAATATATAGTAAATAAATGATATTCTCTAACATTAAATAATTTCTCTGCAAAAGCCAAGCATAAAATAACTTGGGGAGATTGACAGCTTATTCCTGACTTGCCTATGTCAAGAAGGATTCAAGGTTATTATTTTCTCAAACCTCCTGAGTCTATCCTACCAAACTAGATCACATACTAGAGTAGAAGCCAATTTACATGCTTCTGGGTTCATACCATTATCAGGAATTATTTTATCACAATAGAAAAAAAAAGGTTTTGTGTAAGAGAAGAAACTTGAATTTTTCTTCTAGGATTATCACAAGCACATCATTTTATAATTCTTAACACAAATTACAAAAAAAAAATTAAACTAATTATAATCACAACTTTGAGTATCATTAGGTTTCTTCTCTGTTCATGGTAACCAATATCTTAGGCAGCAATTTGAAAAGAAAAAAAACCTTTTCTTTTCATGACATCTAACAGTGAATAAATCATTTAAAATAATCACACTGAGAATAATGTGGCCCATTCAATGTCACAGAAAGTAGATATTATTTCTAACACATTTAATCCACCAGCTAAACCTAACACTGCCAACTCTAAGACAGAAATGAACAGAACATGCTATAACTCTTACATAACATTTGCTCTTAAATTCCAATATTCAGAATGGTTGAAGTCAACTGTCATTTATTCAGACTTCATATACCAGAATTAAGTACACTTCCTTGCACATAACAGATACTGTGAACTGAATTTCTGTGAATTACACAATTTATAGATAACGTATTCCTTTGTTTATCTTTCCTTTCCAGCTAGTTGCTGATTATTACTCATCATCATTTGCAGCAAAAAGTAGGAAAGGTAAATGAGAGGCCTCAATTGACCAGTCAACTTTACCTCAAGCACTTATTCAGCTTTGTGTTCTCAATCTAATTATTTCTTAGCAGGTCTTTTAAACATTTTGGTGGAGATAAGTGGAAAACAGCTATCTAAAAATAGGTCTTCATATTATTTTCCCATGTCAAAATCATATCCTTTAGCATAGGTATGTTTAAATAATTGAAAAAATATACAATGTGTAGTAAGAAGGATTAGATTTCTTGTCCCCTAAGTGAAGAACTAGAATCAATGAATGGGTAGAAATTTTAGAAAAATCAGCTCATTATATTTTAAAAAATAAAAAGAAACCCCCTTCCTAACAGCTGTCAAAAAATGGAATGAACTTCTCAGGAATTATTGAGTTCTCACTGCTAGAATTCTTTTTAAAAAGTAAATCTCCATGAATTCTATAAGCTAATGATATCCTTTATTGTTTGACAGGCTTCCAATGTTTCTGTATTCACTTGCTTACTTCCCATAACTTTTTTCTGTTTTCTGCACCTTTAACTTGAATTTAGAGTCTTTTCTATTTCTTTCTTTCTTTTAGTAGTCTCAAATCACATTTTACCAAAAGCCCTACAGAACTCAGTAGACAGAGAGTAAAACTAAGTCTACAAACGGTACAGATGATGTTTCACATAGACTTCAAATGGGGGAAGATAAAACTCAAACAGAAAAAAGGAAAAGTGTGGCTCTTTTTTTTTTTGAAGGTAATTTACTTATGATGTTAGCAGTTAAGATACAGAAACTGGCACAACTAATAGCATTCCATGGACAAAGTCACTGAAAAATAGGGGGATACAGAGTGGGAAAAGTTACCACAGCAAAATCCTTACTTACTATGGCAATTTACTTGGACAACAAGATCAATGCTTCAAATTCCAGTCCAGTGAGGTAAAAAATATAAAGAAGGAATTAGATTGGGAGAATTAAAAATGTCTTTAACCAAAATGACTATATGTATCAGTATATTTATGGTGATGTGGACAAATAAACCTTCCACTAAGATAGGTATTATGTTAGTGTTATTAGTTATTTATGTTAATTTAAAACAATTCATTTATCATGAATTTGATATAATGGAAACAGTACTGACTTATAGTCAAGATACCTGGCTTTAAATTCTAGGAATTATAGTACATGTGGTCATGTTCAAGTCACTTTAATTTTTCTAAGACCTAGCTTCCTCATCTATAGAAAGGGTAAAAATCCTTATTTTATTCACCTTGCAAGATGGTTGTGAAGAAAAGCTTATTAACTTTAAATATTACAAACTAAAAAAATGAGTTCTAATACTATTAATATCTTAAAATCTGAGAATATTTCATTGTGTGATTATTTCATCAGAAAAAAATTAATTTTAAAGTAATCTATTGCTAGTATTGTGTAAAGTCACTTTTTAAATAAAACTGATTGTAACTGATTAAAACTAAACTAAAGATGATTATCATATAGAGAGCAACAAAAAGGTGGAGGGGAGATAATAAGAATATAGCGACATATAAACAAAAAGGACTTCTGAAGAACAAGAACAAAAGATGTCATTAAGGAATCATATCTAAGAAAAAGAAGATGAGGGGGTCATGGGGCAAGACTGGAGGATGACCACAAAAATGGCCAGAATGCTTTACTGGTACCCTTGTGATACTGGGAGAAGTTGTGAGCAAAGACTCCAGAATGTTGAGAGAAGCCCTTATGGCCATCTTTAAGGAGCACATGAATAGTAATCTCACAGGGTCAACAGGCATAGATGGCCTGAGATTTACATCAATGGAAGGAACTTCTAAATTCAGACCACAGTTCCATTAAAACATTTGAATATACAATATACAATTTTTGCTCTTATATTCTCATTTCTGGATTATAGGGCTATATTTTTGAGTAGTCTTTCTCAACAGAGTAAGCTCCAAAGGCACACTGACAAAAATGTTTAAATATAATCATATCCAACTCTTAAAATTTTAAACATTTTTCATTTTGCAACATGGCATATGGAACAAAGAAGAACTAGAAATTCTTTGTTTCAGGAACAAAGATTTTAAAATCACAAGCTCCTTAAAAAATTTCTTTTTAGGAAAGAAAAGGAAAGCAAATGGAATAAGCATTTGGATAGTGCCAACCATGTGCCCGACACTGTGCTAAGCACGTTTTCCACAAATATTATCTCATTTGATTGTCACAACACCCCCGGATAGCTTAGCTATACATTTATTTATACAATAACTTTTAATTTTAATATGATACTCCAACATTACTTAATATGCCTTCAACTTAAGGTGTAGTAGAAGGAATACTTGATTTTGACTCAGTGGAACACTGGGTTAAAAATTTGACCAATGATGAACAAATCACTTAAACATCCTTAAAAATAAAACATTAATGAATGAAGACACCTGTTGTGCCTATCAAACAGGGTTAATGAAAGGATAAAATTACATAATTTTATGTTGAGTATTTTGTAAACTTTGAAGTGACTGATTTACAATTGTCAACTCTGACCACTATACTCCCCATATGGACTACACAATTATTTAATACAACTTTTAAAATTGAATTAGTAAGTAATTTCATTTTATGTGACCATAAATATATACTCTTAGTGCACCTTCCCTCTTGAAATTACTTTGCAATGTTATAACTTTTTATTTTGTTAAATTTGTACATGCTTTAATCTTCCAGTAGAATGTAAGTTCCTCAGGACAGGTAGTATTTTATCTTTCCCTCAGTATATCCTCAACAACTAGCACAGTGCCTTGCACATATTAGGTGTTTAGTAAATATGGAATTAGATTGAATTATTTCTACGATGTCAAACATTCAGTGAATAGTTGCTGTAATCCTAAAATACCTGTAATCTATAACTGACTATATAGTACATTTTATTCTGTCTCCATGAACTTTTTTTCTTAAAAATTTTTCTTATACTGCCTAATGCTCTTATTTCTGTTTTTCATTATTAAAGGGTAAAGTGAAGGAAGATACTAAAACAGGAAAAAACAAGTGAGGTTAAAACAGCAGTTTTGTTATAAAGACAAAAAATAAGATTCAGAAGGAAATGATGAGACAGTCATTTGATCAGTTTGGGGGTTTTAGTTTAGTTTAGTTTTTTAAAGCATCCTAGTGGTTTTAAAAGACATATATAGGGTATCCCAAAAGTCTTTGTCTAGTTTTAAGCTTCAACAGTTTATAAGTGCACAAAGACTGTAGGTACACTACATATGTGTGTGTGTGTGTGTGTGCACGTATACATACACACATATGTATGTATATTATATATAACTATAAAGAGAGATCTATACCAACACATATTTAAATACACATATTTTTAAATTTTCATTTAGTCAATTTTTAAAAAATTTGTAAACCCTGGTAAGAAATCATGCCTGCTGCATTAGAATCAGAAATTGCAGAGAAAAGATATTATAGCAGGCCTGTTCAGTAAATACTCCATTACTTTTCTCCTTCTATCAATTAGTTCTTTATTCATGGGCTTCCCTGTTCCTATTATGTTTCAGTTGTCCTTGTAATGACTAGTTGTGGTTTGTGTT